GAGCAGTGAGCTCAACACAGGGCTTGATCCCAGGACTCCAGGATCATGACCTGAGCTGAAGGCAGACGTTTAACCAACTGAGCCACTCAGGTGCCTCTCTTCAAGTAAATTTTCTGCCCCCTTCTCTCATTCTTCTCCTTCTGGGATCCCTATAATGCAAATGTTATTAGGGTTGATGATGTTGGTGAGTTCCCTTAACCTATACTCATTTTTTATTTATTTTTTTTCTATTCAGCTTGGTTGCTTTCCTCACCGTCTTCTGGATCACTGATCTGTTTGTTCTTCTGCATCCTCTAATCTGCTGCCCTTTTCCTCTAGAGTAATTTTTATTTCAGTTATTGAATGCTTCATCTCTGGTTCTTTTTTGTATTTCCTCTTTAAGTTCTTAGTGAGTTTATCTACTCTTTCTTTTTTAAGTAGACTCCAGGCCTGGCATGGAGCCCAACTCATGACCCTGAGATCAAGAACTGAGCTGAGATCAAGAGTTGGACGCTTAGCCAACTGAGCCACCTAGGCACCCCTATCCACTCTTTTCTCAAGTCTAGTGAGTATCTTTGTCATTACTTTGAATTTTTTTGTTGTTTTTGTTTTGAGAGAGAGAGAGAGAACAAGCAGTGGGGAGGGGCAGAGGGAGAGAGAGAGAGAGAGAGAGAAAGAGAAGCAGACTCCCTGCTGAGCAGGAAGCCCAATGCAGGGCTCGATCCCAGGACCCGGAGATCATGACCTGAGCCAAAGGCAGACACTTAGCTGACTGAGCCACCCAGGTGCCCCCATTACTTTGAATTTTTATCAGGCATAGCGCTTCTCTGTTTCATTTAGCTCTTTTGCTGTGATTTTTCTTCTCTTTCATTTGAGACATATTCTTCTGTGTCCTCATTTTGTCTTAGTCTCTGTGTTTGTTTCTATGGATTAAGGAGGTCAGCTACATCTCCTGGTGTTGAAAGTTGTAGCCTTGCGTCCTGTGGTGTCCTGGAATGCAGTGCCCCCTGGGCACGAGAAACAGGTGCTCCAGGAGTGTCCCCATGGATGCACTACATGTGCTCTGCTGTGTGGCTGAGCTGTGTTTGCCTTCCCCTAGTCAGCAGCAGTGACCCACTTCGCCTGCTGCAGGCACACGGCACAGGGTTTGGTCCCTGGGCTGTTGAGGGGCCTCATACCAGTCTGGGGCTTGTAGGTGGATGGGATCAGCAGTCAGACTAGGTGTCTAAGTCAGCCTTTCTGCTGTAGTTGTGGGCCCTCCGAAGGGCAGGGCTTTCTCCCTGTGGTCCACAGAGGCTTTCGCTGATGGGCAGGGCTGGCAGTCAGACTAAATTAATCTTTCTGTCACAGTTTTGGGTGCACCAAGCAGCGGGGCTTTTTCCCTGCACAGCCAGCTAAAAGGCTCTGCCTCTGGAACTGCACGGGGGGGTGTGGGGGTGTGGGGAGCAGGAGTCACTTTGGCATGGTGCCAGCCCCTGCCAGAGCTGCTTACAGGGTGTGCTGGGGCAGAAGCTGCTTTCGGCGGGGGACACCTGCTGCGGCAAGAGTGTTAGATGATACAGGTTTGCAGGGGAATTTGGGGGTGGCACATGGGGGTGCTGGCAAAGTAGGTGGAGTGTTAGTGCTGGTTCTCACCGTATCCGGCTGTGTAGTCTCAGGGAGGGAGAGCCCCCAACAGCCCCAAGCCCTCCTACCTTGCCCTCCACTAAGGTGTGAGAAGGGGGCTGTGGAGGAAACACCACAGGAAGAGCCGACTCCACAGTTAGTGCTTAGGCCAGATTCCCCGTGAGGACATCTGAGCACCTCAAGCAGGAGCTAAAATGCAACTTCTGAAAAATGTTTGATTTTTTTAGGAGTGACTGTACCTATTGATTGTCAGCTTCCCATAGTATTTGCAGGTTTCTGTAATGTCCAGATAGGGCAAAGGAAGAACATTACTGAAGTTAAAAGACTTCTGCAGCAGGATTTGCAGAGAACAGGCGAAAAAGGCTACATGGCAAAAATTCCTTCTGGTTAGTTATCTTTGGGTGTATCTTCAGATGTTTTTTGATTCTCTGTATATTCTAATATTCTCACAATAAATGTATGTTGCTTTTGTATTAACAATCTGAGTGTACTGGGGCAGGCTCCTGCGTGGTGCAGTCGGTTAAGCGTCTGACTTGGTTTCGGCTCAGGCCATGACCAGGGTCATGAGATGGAGCTCCGCATCGGGCTCTGCACTCAGCTCTGAGTCTGCCTGAGACTCACTCTCTCCCTCTGCCCCTCCCCTCCCCGCACTCTCTCTCTAAAATAAATATTTAAAATAATCTGAATGTACAGAAAATATAATTTGAGAAAATACTATTTTCAGCTTCAAGCTAAATACATAAGAGTTGCTTTAGTGGGCACAAGGAAAGCTTTGAACTTGGTATCCACTGGCTGGCTGCAGCAGCTCTTGACTAATCCAGGCATGGTGGCAAAACAACAGAGAATCTTTGACTCCCACTCTCCTTAGGAATATACTTTCCAAGCTATATTTGACGAGGTCCTAATCAGACGTCCTTTTAACTTGCATACCAAAACTACTGGTCACATCATGAAGAGCTGCCTTATCTTAGGCATTTTGCTTTTCTCCCTCTTTTCTAACTTGAGGGAGACGCCGTTTCTCAGATTACTACAAAAAGCCAACTCTAAGTAGTACTCTCTTCTTTTCACGCACACTCTGGATGTTTGGTTTTCACCTTTAACATAATATGCATTAGTTTTTTTTTTTTTTAAGATTTATTTTTATTTGACAGAGAGAGAGATCACGAGACTAGGAACACAAGCAGGCTTCCCGCCGAGCAGGGAGCCCGATGTGGGACCCGATCCTAGGACCCCGGGATCATGACCCAAGCCGAAGGCAGACGTTTAACGACTGAGCCATCCAGGCGCCCACATGCATTAGCTTTTTAAAAGACCTGTCCCACATCGAATTGCAAGAACTTGGGAAGCATCTTTTAATGTCAACATGAATTTGAAAGCATCTGTGGCTGCAGATGCTGATTTCTTTTTTTTTTTTTTTTTGAGGGATGGGACAGTTTAATTTAGAAATAAGCTTCGGACAGCCTCCTGATCAGAAGGGAGCCTAAGGGCCCACCCTGGGGGAGAGAGGCCATCGTGGAGGGTAAGGCCCCCAGGTGGAGGGAGACCAGCATGGGAGCTGGTACCACGAGTGCCACGACACTGGTCCTGTGCTCAGCAGGGACTGGCAGAGCCTGGAGTGATGAGCGGAATGGCCTTCTCAGGCATGGGGCTGTGCTTGATGCGACTTGCAGTTGCATCTTCCACTCAGGGCTATCAAGATTCCAGCGATGCACAGGAGCCCTCCGAAAATCATCCCACCCAGCCGCAGGCTTTCCCAGTCGTGGTAGGAGGGACTGTCTTTATCAACCAGGTCATTGGCTTCCAAGGCAGGCAGGCCTGCCAGTGTGAGGGGAAGGCCTCGGGTCACTGTCTTCAAGATACAGCTGCAGAGCAGGGCTGAGAGCCGGGTGCAGATCTGGAGAGGCTGCTGGGGCTGGGCCGCAGACGTTGATTTCTGAAAGTGTGTGCGCCTTCAACCCTAGCTGGGTCTGAACCGCCGAGAACAGAGCTGACTCTGGTAGAGGTCTGCTAGCCACCAACTCTGGGACCACAAAGCAATGGCAGCATCCCCAGGGAGGCACTCTCCCCGTTTTAATTCTGGACGGAGTTGGGCCTGGGTTGACACGATCACCTGCGGTGTTCTTTCAGTAACAGAGATGCCCAGCTGAGTTGGCTGAAGGGCTCTCTGTTGGGCTTGGAGACCTACAGTCTGTGGCTGCAGAGACCACAGGTGGAAGGAGGCAGCCTCCCAAGCCTTTGCTGGCTACCCTAGGGCTGTTTATGACGCTGACGTTTAAAAAAGGCCACCCAAAGATATCTTCTTGAAAGAAATGTTTATTATTTTTATCGGTCAAACAGTTTCAAACAAATTCAGAACAAGTTTTCACATTTTGAGCCTTTAGTGCAAAGACACTATGTCATGCGTGAAAGAAATGCTGATCCAGTGGCGCCCTCCCCTGAAGCAAGTAAATATTGGGATGATCAGGTGGAAGGAGACTTATGTGACAGAAATCTGCTCAGAAATCCTCTTGAAAAAGGACATGATTTAAAGCTCATTTGAAGGTTTTTCACAACATAAATGTGCTTAAACAACTTGTAATCTCAACTTCTTAATTTCAAAACAAAATACCCCAAGTATCAACTATCCCTTTTAAATAAAAAAAATAATCAATTTATACTCTTCTTAAAAGAACTCTAACAATGTAAAATAAGTTCCAATTCCATATATATATATATGTACATTTATAACTTAGGTGCTCTTTTGCTCTATATACTTTTACTCATGCAACAGTGACAGACGACTGGATGTGAGGCCCTACAGAGGCCTCTCTGAGAAAGCAGTGTAGCTTCTCACTCTGGCGAAGAACAAAGGGGTGTACATCTTGTCAATCTCAAAAGCAGTAACTGCAGTCTCACCAGTTGATCTGGAAAGAAAGCACAAAATTACCAGTTACAAGGACATTTCAACTCATTTAAAATCCTTACATATTTAGAGGGGAGGGTTTATCTTACACTTTAGTCTTTTTTATTTTTGAATTCATCTCCGTAAATTCAAAATGATAGAGGCATGATAAGAGAAAACCACAGGCCCAGAATAGTGTCACTTACACCGAATTCCCAAACCAGGGCCTAATACCCAATCTAAATGCAGTTTCAAGTCAGTCAGAAATCTTCTGATGGGCCCCCTCCACCCCCCAAAGGAAGATGAGGTAGCCTGCATGGTATGACTCCCTGCTCTTCCCTCTCAGGGAAAGCAGCACTTCCTGGAACAACCCTTCCTGCCCCTACCCTCCTGCTATAAAACCCTTCCATTTTGTTCAACTCCTCCGAGCTCCCCTCTACCCGTTAGATGGGATGCTGCGCAATTCAGGACTTGTTTACTAAAGCCAGTTAGACAATTAAAATTTACTTGGTTGAATTTTTGTCATTTAACAGATTCGGTGGCAGCAAAAGGATCCAAAGGGAACTTCCGGCAGCATCTGGGGCGATGAGAACATAGGCGTGGTCCCTGTGAACCTTCTGAGCTCACTGTCTTTCTCACCATCTCGAGGGTCGTGGGTAAGTTCCTCTCAGTTACGAGTGTTTTGTCGTCGCTGACGTTCAAACTCCCATCTAAATGGCGTTCCCGTACAGGGCAGGACGGCTTGAGCTGGCAGGTGCTTATGCCTGGAGCCCAGCCCCACAGACCACAGTCCCTGGTGGAAAGCCATGCGCTGCGGGAATTGGTGGTGGTGTGCACAGGGCCCTCCTATGGCCAAGATGCAATGCTGCCAAAACACCCAAGGGCACAGGTCTGTCTGTCTGGTTTTGTGTAAAGCCTGTCGCTAGTGGGGATCTTGGAGACCAAAAAGCTGCAAGAATTGGTGGGGATGGGTCGAGCATTTAAAGGCTGTTAGAAGTGCTCACCACCTCAGGAAGACTCCTGGGATGGGATAAGTTAGTTGTGAAATAGGTTAGCCTGGCACTAGGTCACCCACCAATCTCAAGAAACTTTCCAGGCACCGAGGTACACTGTAAAACACACTCAATCCCCAGCCCCATGGCACATCCCTTTCAGGTATTCATTCAGCTCAGAAGATCCCTAAGTTCTGAGGGGTCAAGCATGCCACCTTCTGGCACACCTGCTTATTTTATGTCTAAGAACTACTACAGTCCCAGAAGTTTTAGATATCTAGCAAAAACGACAAAATCTTCCTAAGCTTGTTTTGTGTCCTGAGGCACTTAGCTTGGTAACCACCAGGCTGGGTGCCCCAAAAGAAGGCTGATGTGGGTTAACTCTGTGACTAGGGACCTACCGACGTGCTGCCAGCCCTCAGAGGAATCACGACCTAGAAATACAGTGGCCATTATGGGGAACGTTCCAGTTAGATAAGATCATTTAAGAAGTAGACCTGAAAGCACGAGTTCCCAAATTAAACAGAATGGGATACCCATTTCATTTGGCATGCAGATGCCTCCAAAAGGTTTCAAAGTTCCAAAACCGTTTCATTGAAAGATTTTATTGCAATAGGAAAAATTAAAAAGAGAAAAAGGTAGGTGCCTAAAACAAGACTGTAAGACTGGGTACTCCTTCTCATCTGAATTTTAAAAGACTACCTAAACATCAGCCAAATTCTGCCAAGTTAATGGCCGTACAGACACCCTGTTCTCTACCTTCTAAGCAGGGCCCTCCCATGAGCCCATCCCAGAGTCAACGAAGCTGAGGGATTTTCTGATAAACTGCTACATTATTCCTTAGACAGTCAAGGGGAAACCGGCAGATACCAGATCGTGCCCAGGGGATCCTGGAAAAACTGGCAGAAGCCAGCAAAAGGTGAAAATTCTTACCAGAGTCCGCGCTTCCAAATCTCTGCCTGCCCAGTCACACAGAAAATAAAATCACACTGTCCTTCCCTTCTAAATCCAGACCCACTGGTTACTGATCCCTTCTCTCCCAGGGACACCTACTGCCTTCCTGCTCCTCTGGTTTGGCATTGCTGGGCTTGGCTTTCTGCCTGCTTGGGACATGCAGGTTGTTGGTTCTTTCTTTTGGCCATCACTGTGAGTGATTCTAGATTTGGGGAAGTTGATATCCTCCATACCGTCCCTGCTGATCCATCTTTCACCCAACAGAAGCAATTCAATACTGCCACAAATACGTAAAGTTAGAATGATGTACCCAGAGGGGGAAAGAAGCAAACTGAGGATACGAGAGATGGATAGGGGGAGAACCTCTGATGCCATTTAAGTTACAGTCCAATTCTTTGGATTGAACTGAAAGCAATGGTCCTTATGTTACACATCTTTGCAAAACCACAAACGCAGCTCTATAGGCAACAAAGTTCCCCTATTCCTTTACCAATCCCCCAATGTCCCGTTTATCTCAGACAGCTTGTACATTATTGGCCTTAGGAAACCAAGTTTCTTCTAGAAGGAGCTTGCATTTTTCCCTGTGCTTTTTAAATCTAAATGTTCAATGTTCTACCTGGTCTTCTCCAGGAATTCCTTAGTTCACCTCTTTAAAATGCAAACTTAAGGAGATGATTCTTACCAAGAAAAAACAAAATGGGCAAAGTCATTTGAAACTTGACTTGCCAAGGGCAAATACAAACCTTAAGTGTCTTCTCTAAAGATGTATATAAAGAAAAGCTTTACCCATGTAGCCAGGTAACCTCAACATATTCAACCTACCAGAAAAACAAACTCACATCTGATTTTGATAAATCCTGTATTTATTTTAGGGCAGGATTTTCAAAATCAGCTATAAGGTCTCTGAGTCAGTCTGTTCACATGTGTCTATACATGTGCGTTATAGTTATGTGGTACTTCCCACCTCTGATGGTATCGCTAAAATGAATTTGTAAAAGAGCTCTATTTAGTGGGTTTGAAGGCAAGTGCCTATAAGGATGGGCATTCTGAAAATCATATAGTCAGAGACTAACCCAAATGTTTAAGTGCATGTGACCCAGGAAAATATTGATATAAAAGCTAGATAACGGTTAATGGTTTAATTAAAAGACATGTTTTTAGTTATCAACATTAAATATTAAACTTATTCTACCTGAGTTTACTAGGTAAATTCACATTCTCTCTTCTAAGATGTGGCCACACAAAACAAAGTGTTTGTCGGTAAACATAATTCAGGACAAATAAAGCTAAGCAGCACAAAAGTTTATAAATGAGCTTTTCAGCAATATTTGTCTACTTAGTTTTCCCAAGCTTTTTTTTTTTTTTTTGATAACCTAAAACCTTAAACTAAGTTAAGTTAAATGATGAATTAAGTTAAACTCATTAAATACCTAGATCATTTCCAAATAAGATAAAGTACTAAAGCATTAATTAGTAAACACAGATTTATCTACTTTTGTCTTCATATTACAGAGAAACTAGTATTTAAACATGCTAATGATACACTGAAACACGTAAAACAGCACATGCTCTAGAAATTTTAAAATGTATTCATAAATATGCCAATTTAAAAAAAATGCTAGTGTAACAGTTCAAAATTGCTCACTTATTAGTTTTCACTAGAAATTAAGGTTTTTAAGGGTTAAGAATTCTAATTAATATCTTTGTATGCCAGGAAAGCAGGACGTGTTTTTCATAAAATAAGGTATGAGAAATAGAGAGTAAGTTTGTCCTAAAATGAAGCTGGTTGTTTAAGGAAAAAAAAAAAAAAAAAAAAAAGACAAAATGGGGATGTAGAAAAGAGGTTGTAAAAGTTTTGTAGAATTCTAATTTTTGAAAAGGAATTTTAATGTGTGGTCAAGCAGGTTAAGATTAAAATATATTTTAAAAAATGAGTTTTAATATCAAAGTAAGATGGTGCAAAATTATTTCGTTTTCTGTCAAAAAACAGTTTTCTTGGACTTTGGTCTGCTTTTGAAAAGACTGCAGTTTCATAACAATCTGTAATCCTACTTATAAGGCAAGTGCTTTAAAACCTTTTTTAAAAAATTGTGACAAACTTCCAAAGGACCTGTTAAACTAATGAGGCTTATTCGCTGTAAGTGAATACCTAACCTTCTGTGTAGCACAAGTGGCTGAAGTCCACTCTGGGTCCACAAACATGGCCCCTCATCACCAGACTTGCCACCCTGACGTCCCTGTAACATGGCAACAGCCTGCTTCTAAACTGAAGACACTGAAATGAGTGAGCACTGACTGCAAATTGAACACACGCTTATAGAAACCTAGATGGCCCGGTTCTTCCTGGCAAATCCCACATTTTAATTTTTGCATTCCTTCACCCACCACAGCACAATGATGAAGACTCAAATTATAAACAGACATTGATAGACTTCTATAAAATTACAAAAATAGTCTACCAGCAATGCCTGACCTGTTTGGTCACTACCACTCCCCATACCCCACCCCCACCCCCATAACCTATTTTTGTTCCAAGAGACCTCAAACCTCTGCCCTCTGGATCCTTCAAACACTTGTAGCTGGACTTCATTCAACTGCCACTGAGTATGAGTATAGCTCATACTCATAAATATTGCCGAAAAGCTCATTTACAAACTTTTGTCTTGCTTAGCTTTATTTGTCCTGAATTATGTTTACCTACAAACACTTTATTAAACATTAGACAGTCAGCCATTATCCTAAGCTATTATGAGTGATCAACAGGTTCTTGTTCTTGTATGTTTGATTTCTAGATGGGTTGAGATTTCCCCTGCTGTAAGACTGATGCCTTCACAGGAAAAACCAACCAAAACAAACCAACTTAAAAATGTGTTCCCCACTTGGGGTATACTTTCCACTCTCTCCAGTGATCAAGGCATCCATTTCACTGGACAAATCACACGCGCCTCGACGAAAACCTTACGAACTTCTTGGAATTCTATCAGGACACAACCTTCTGGTCCCTTGTTGTCTCCTGCTCGTATGACCAGCTACTGTAAGTCTCCACTGTCTTATGCTCAAGCCTGTCACCCATCGATTCAAGAAGCTTTCCTGGATCCCAATTCAAAGAAACCTGTTCATCACAGCCTAGAGTTTGGTGACTATATGAGCGTTGCCAGAGGAAAACCACTCTCCAGCCGCACTGGAAAAGGACCTTCCCAGGCGCTCCTGACCATGGACACTGCTGCAGAACTATGAAGTATTAAGCCCTGGGTACACATCACAGAGATAAGGCTCCACCCGCCACCCGGTCCTGTACAGATGCTGGAGACCTCCACGTCAAAGTGATGAGCAAGACGAGTAGAAGACATCGAGGTAGTCTGCTTCCACCCCAGATGACGGATGGAGACTCCATACACTAAACGTAAACCCTTTTCTCCTCTTTTCCTTTCCTTCACTCTGGCGTTGGCCTGGAAAGATAACACCCTCATCCATATCTCCCAGGCCACCGTGAAGGGGGTGGGTGTGGGAGGGGTATAACCTCTGGAATTTAAAACAATCTTTTATTTCAGGCTAGGAGAAAATCTAACTGTGCCTCTAACTTTTCACAAGCAAAATAAAAGATCTCATTGGCTGAATCTCCTAAATTTACATTGTTGAATTTAAAAAAAGACATTCACGATTCAGATTCACTCCTTTACAGAGGTCCCGATTTCCTTGGTTAGGGATACATATAAATGAGGCTATGATCAATTCTCAAAATTATTGCAAAATCTGCTGCTAAAGCAAAAGCAGCACCACAAAGATCCTTGGACTCTCTAGCCAAAGCTGTCCTTGATTATCTTTTAGCTGAGCAAGGGGGTGGGTATCTGTGTTGCGGCCAATACCACCTACTGTGCCTGGACTAACACTGCTGGGGAAGTTAAAAATTGTATAAGATCACTGAGCAAGGCACTGGGCTTAAAAAGATGACTCCTGCAGTAGGGCCTTTCTATGGTTTGGTTGGGTCTTGGGGACCATGGCTCTAAGTACACTCCAACTATTGGGAACTGTCCTAACAGTAAGAATAATACTAAGAATAATAATAACCTATAGTAATAGTAATCTCTTTGGTGCATTATATTCTCTCAAAAGCTTTAAATGTATGTTCACAGCCACTCATCACCAAGCAAATGATCTAAGACTGGAACATGAACCTGAAGCTGTGACCTACCAGTATCACAGATGAAGGAAAAGCATCGTGACCTATGGGTACCACACAAAGGATCAACACAAGCTGTGAGAACTACAAAAGGGTAATTGAGAGTTGGTGCTCATGCCTTAAATTTTGATCACATCTCTCAGTTAAGCTGACAATCTGATCAAAAGGGGGAACTGTTAAAAAGAAAACCACAGGCCCCAAAATGGGATCACTCAGGATGGGTTCCCAAAGCGGGGCTTAATATATAATTTAATTGCAGTTTCAGCCTCCCCCAGAAATGCAGTCTAAACTGGTCAGTCAGGGGCGCCTGGGTGGCTCAGTTGGTTAAGCAGCTGCCTTCAGCTCAGGTCATGATCCCAGGGTCCTGGGATCGAGTCCCGCATCGGACTCCCTGCTCAGTGGAGAGCCTGCTTCTCCCTCCCCCTCTGCCTGCCTCTCTGCCTACTTGTGCTCTCTGTCAAATAAATAAATAAAATCTTTAAAAATAAATAAACTGCTCAGAAATTTATTGATGGGAGCCCATGAGTCTGCCACATGGACCCTCTCCGTTCCCCAAAGGAAAATGAGGAGTTTGCGTAAGACCCTCTGCTTTTCCCTTTAAGAGAAAATGTCCTTGCCTGAAACAATCCTTTTCTTTTGCTAATAACCTTCCTGCCCTGCTCTCCTTCTATAAAAACCTTCCATTTTATACAACTCCTCAAGGCTCCCCATTCACAAATCATTTAATAAAGCCAATTAGATCTTTAAAAATTTTACTTGGTAAAATTTTTGTTATTTAACAGGCATATTGTAAAAAATTTGAAAAACTGAGAAAAGTACAAAGAAAAAAATCACTCATCATTCCATCATCTAATATAACAATATGAGGTACAGTTGACCCTTGAACAACATAGGGGTTGGGGTGTCAAAAATCCACATATAACTTTTGAGTCCCCAGAAACATAATTACTACTAACCTGTTGACCGGAAGTCTTACCAATTACAAAATCAATTAACACATATTTTGTATGTTACATGTATGTTTTACTGTATTCTTACAGTAAAGTAAGCTAGAGGAGAAACAAAGTTATTAAAAGTACAAGAAAAATACATTTACAGTACTGTATTTATAAAAAAAATCCACATTATAAGTGGATGCATGCAGCTCAAACCTGTGTTGTTCAAGGGTCAACTACACCTTCTTCCAAGCACCTCAACCTGTCTATCGAGCTTTTCTATTGAGATTATAATACTATCAGTAATTCTGCTTTTCATTTAGCATTCTGACATATGCATTTCCTCACATTATTAAATACTCTTCAGAAGCCATTACATATTTCACTGTCTGCCTGTACCACAATTTCCTTAATAATCTCCCCCCTCTTTTTTAAAGATTTTATTTATTTGAGAGAGAGAGAGCACAAGTGGGAGGAGGGGCAGAGGGAGAGAGAGAAGCAGACTCCCCACTGAACGAGGAGCCTGATGTGGGGCTCAATCCAGGACGCCGGGATCATGACCTGAGCTAAAGGCTGATACTTAACCGACTGAGCTACCCAGGTGCCCCAATAATTCCCTTTCTGTTGGAGATTTACGTTGTTTTCATTGTTTGGTAATTAAAAATGTGATAAGCTGCTCAGAGAGGATTCTGCTTGTCCCTCTCCCTCTGCCCACCTCTTGCTCATGCTCTCTCTCTCCCTGTCTCTCTCAAATAAAATCTTTAAAAAAAAAAAAGCGATATTTTTGATTATGTCCTTTGAACAGATTCCTTAGAAATTCTAAGTAAAAGACTACAGATATTTTAAGGATCTTGTTAAAATGTAATTTAAGAAGAATTATAATCCTAGAATAGAATTTAGTGACTTAATATTTGCATGATCAACAGCATCATCCCACTGGGGAGGGAAGGGAAGCTGATGATAAGTAATACTACTACAGCCTTTTAGTTTTGTCCCCCAAAGGGATAAATAAAGGGATAAATCAAGCGACTTTATACATACAGTAAGGAAGTCAATGTGAGCATTAGCAGTTACAAATGACACCTATAATAATGTCCTTCTTCCTCCTAAAACATGATGCTTTCTATTTATTTGGTACTACTCTGAGTTTGGTTTCTTTCTATGAGAAGAAAATAGAACACTGCACAGTTTACTGAGAGAAGCAAAAAGGAGATACAGGACTGCTAGGTAAGAATGAAAAGAAAGAAAAATGCTGAGAATCTCAGTTCTCAGGACCTTTCACACGAGTGGGGAAAGCATGGAAACAGGCCACAGATGGTTTTCAACCCTGTGGTCAAGGCTGTGAAGTAGGTTAATAGAAGGTGATCTCAAATTCTGTCTCTCAGGGGGCACCTGGGTGGCTCAGTCGTTAAGCATCTGCCTTCGGCTCAGGTCATGATCCCAGGGTCCTGGGATCGAGCCCCGCATCGGGCTCCCTGC